AAAAAAAAAAAAAAAAAAAAAAAAAAAAAAAAAAAAAAAAACAAATTCCATTGATACACAGATTGATTCCCACACAATCAATAAGAACAATAATAATAACAACAATAATAAGAACAATAACAACAGCGGGAATACCAACAGTAGATACACTTCACATACTTTTCAATTCCAAGATTTATCTTTTCATTGACCTTTCTCACGTACAAAAACAAAAGTTCGTCCACTACGTTGCGGCGTAGATACAGGATGGACCTTATTGCTTTCTTCTTCTTCTCTCTGTTTATATTCTTCTCCTTCGTGCTGTTGTTCTTTTTCTTTTTTCTCTTCTTCTTCTTCTTCCTTTGTTTCCTCAACATGTTTAAGTGCGACATTATGAGAGAATATACCGTTCATTCCATTTCTCTCTTGTATCTCTCGAGGTGGTATTCTATTAAACTCCTCCATCTGTACTTTAGTCTTATCTTCATTAGCTATTGTTTTTCTTGTCTCTGTTTCTCTTGGAGTAGCTGGAGGAATAGAAGAAATTGGTTCCTGTGTAGATTCAAACATCTCTGGTGAGGCAATATCTAATTTTCTACTCTCATGTATATGAATACTTTCTGTTTCTTTCCTACTCTCCATCTGTGTATACTCACTTGTGGTAACAGAGGCTGTGGATAAGGTTTGTCTATTTTCTTTGATATTACTACCAGAAGAGCGATGACGTTTCTTTATTCCAAGATGATCCACCAGCCAATCATGATAAGACTCTTCCAGTAATCCTAATAAATATGCCGCTCGTGAGGGACGTTTACCTTGTTGTTTTCTTTCTTCTTCCTTTTCTTCTTCTACACTTCGTTCACATAATAAATAACGTACCATGCGTTGATGGAGTACACGGGCCTCTTGATAATTATCAACATCATCAAAGTAATGCTGGAGTGCAGACTCTGTTAATGGAACTGTATCATACATAGAGACATCACTATTTTCATGATCCACTGTACTGATCTCTGGTTTCTCACCAGGAATATCATCATGCATGGTAGTATTATGAGAAGTAGTAGTAGTAGTAGTAGTAGTATTATGAGAAGTAGACTGTTGTAAACTCTTCACACTGAGTTGAGTGTTCTCCAACTGTTTTACATTATCCGTTGATGTACTTATCACATCACGTTTAACACTCTTCATTACATCATGTGTACTAAATACAGTATCCACATCTGCCAATGATTCCTTTTTCGATAAATCAAACATCTTTGTACTGCCATTACCATTATCATTGGTAGTAGGATCTACATCCACATTACTAGTTGTGGTTTCACCCATACCTTGACGAGTATCTCTATTACCTTGTTTAATATTGTAGATATTTACATACTGTGGAAGGCGAATACTTTCTCCTCCTCGCATTTCACCACCTGCACGGATGGAACCATAACACACACTAGACGTTACCACAGGTCCTCGATAACTATTAGAAACAATTACAGAAGAAGACGATAATGATGGTTGCTTCTCTTTTTCTTCCGGAATTGCACAAGAGGAAACAGTTTGCACCGTTGTACCGCATGGTACCTGAGCAGCAACAGCAGTAATAATATTACTATTAGTAGTATTGGTAGTAGTATCAACAGCACTATGATCAAAGTGAGACGCAACAGGTACAGAAACAATTGGTGTAGAAAGTGGATGATCCTTTTTTCGTGGAGTTTTTGGTTTCACAACTTCAAAGGCATAAAGTGGCACAAGTTGTGGTTCTCCCAAGTCTAGTATAGATCGTTTTCTTGATTCTTGTACGGGTGAAGTATGTAAAGTATCTGCGACCGTAATTGGAGTTACATTCAATCTATTCACATCTTCCAACAATGAAGATACCGTGGAATGTGTAGATACATCCTGTGTAAATCTTTTATATATATTCCTTGTACCATATTTTCCTTCCTGCTCTTCTTCCTGTTTCTCTTTCTCTTTCCTCTCTTGTCTATCTTGTCTTTGTATACATCCCACATCTTCTTCCATTGCGGTGGATGGAATAGCGGAGATAATCTGCGGTGTTGCTGTTGCTGTTGCTGCTTCCCACACATTCGCACGCCGCATTGCTGCTACGATCCCATCACTATACCGCAGATTGGGAGATTTCGCTGGAGTCTGCACAGTCGTATCCCACAACTCCCGCAATCGTGGGGAGTGACTATTCACTAGACCCATATCACTATGATGAGTCCAGCGATCGAGATAGATGTTGGTATTACTGCTGTGAATATCTAAGGAAACACCGGGAATGTCAGAGTGAATACGATGATTATGATTATTATGATTATGATGATTATGATTGGAAGAGATATCTGGTATGAAGGTATCATTGTTTTTCTTTTCATCCAATATATCCACTGTGATATCTGCTAACTCTTCCTTTTCTTTTTCCTCTTTTTCTTCTTCCTCTTTCTCTTCTTCCTTTGCCCTTTGTTGTTGTTGTTGTTGTTGTAGTAGTTGTTGTTCTTCTTCATAATGTTGTTGTTGTAAAGCCCGAACGGTGGCAGTGGCACTACCACTTCGCATTAATTTACACTTTGTTGGTGTTTCTTCTCCCGTCAATCGTTCCCGCACCAACCATGCCTGCGTGGCGATATTTAATTCATGCCCAAGTTGAACTAATGCCTGTTGTTGTCTATTGTTATTCATCATCATTATACCACTATCCGTAGCTACACGGGAGATATCACCAGCGGTATCAATGAGTTCTTTGGCTTCCATGAGTGCTTGCCATGCGGATTGAAATAATTTCTGTTGAGTTAACACACGAGCTTCACCAAACTTTCCCCAAGCACGATCAAGGAAACTTTGTGATTTCTCATCATAATCAGTTTCTATACTATTCATAGGCGATCCAGCGGGGGATGCATGTCTATATTCCGTACTCCTCTTGTCTCCATTGATAGTAGTAGTTGTCTGCCCAAGTGCAGCCATTGACTTCTTATCTTTTTTCTTCTTTTTGTTGGTATTGATATTGCTATTATCATTACTGTTCTTAGTGCCACTACTGTTGGGATTGATAGTTTTCCTCCGTCTAACAGCACTTGCTGATGTTGAACGCTGTTGTTTTCTTATCCCTTTTCTTACGGGGACGACAGAAGCTGGAGTTCTACTGCGCTGTTGAGAGTCATTAAGGAAGTATGGGCTTTTTATCATGGAGTTGGGTGACCAAATGCTTCCCTTGAGGCTAGAATCAATCATTATCCACGACATTCAATATACATATATTTATATATAAATAATAAAAATAATAATAATAATAGAGGAATAAGTAAATAAATAAGGAAAAAGAGGTGTATTTACACAAAACTATAAGTTTATATATATATATATATATATATGGGGGGTGTACGTATTTATTGAATAAGGATAAATAAATAGAAAGATAGATAGCTGTATAGATATATCTTAATATATAAATACACACAAAAAAGTGAGATACACCGCACACTATATGATTCTAGACTTCTTGAGCTAAATCTCAAAAAGAAAAAGAATCTTCTACAACCTTTTCTTTTTCACCCGTTCAAACCTTTGCCCTTTTTATTAATTATTTCTTTCCTTATCTTCTGTTTGTTGTATTTCGTCACCGCTCATCACATTGCGAATAGAAAAAGAGAAAACAGAAAGAGAAAAGAGAGAGAACAGTTAAAAAAAAAAAAGAAACTTATGAAACACACATACATAAAGAAAAAAAAAAAACATATAATAAAAGAGAATAGCAAGATACGTACCGCAGAATTGGTAAATAAATATATAAGCAAAAAAAAAAAATCTTCGCTTCCACTCTTTTTTTTTTTTTATCGCCTTTACTTTACATAGGAGCAACCTAACATGGATTTGCACATCTAAGCAGAGAAACACACATACACACACAGATATATATATATATATATATATATTCACTCTTCCTTTCTATTTTTTTTTTTGTTTATTTCCTCCGTACTTTCTCTTCTATTCAGTTGATATATATATATATATATATATATTTGTATGTGTCCCTATATTCTACTAGGCAATTTCTACAAAAATAGATTATGCACTTTTCTGTGCGGATGCATGTGCTGCTGCTGCCGCCGCTGCTGCCGCTGCTGATTTCTCTAAGGCTGTAATACGTTTAATCTCATTTACAATTTGCTGATTCGCCTTTTTGAGATATTTTACTTCCTCTTCATATCGATTCAGTTCTGCCTGTTTTTGTTCCTCAAAGCGTTTCGTCATCCCATCATGTTTCGCCCGCAGTTCATTTACGCGATTTTCCAGTCGACGTACTTCACTCTCAAGAGATATCTTCTCATCAAACAAGTAACTCCGCAGATCCCGTTCAATTGCTTTTCGCACGGCATACTGACAGGCACTGTCAAAGAGAATATCATATGTGTTAGTTGTCTGCTGCATCTCTGTGGCGAGTTCCGCGAGTAGTAAACCCCGCTCTGGGCACAACACAGTCACCTGACGAATCACTTCACGTAAACCATCGGTGTAAATACCTTCACGAATCATACAGACAACACCAGTGGGACGGGCGTTTTCTTCTTTACAACGTCTTTCCAGGTGTTCTCGTAGACATACCGCGTCAAGTCTACTGGTGTGTTCAATATCTGCCACCTTCATCCATGTTAACTCACTGTCTTTTTCTTTTCCATCTTGTTGTTGTTGTTGGAGTGGTACGGGTGGGAAGAGTCGTGCTAACGCCTGTTCTGCGGTCATACTGTTTGGAGTGAGATTGAGTGCTTCAGTGATGGGAGCCGCCGTACTTCCACTCACTGTATTATTTTTTCCACTCGCAGCGGCAACTGTTGTCGTCGCGTCTGGTAGAGTTGCCGCTGCGAGTGTGGATTTGTTTGAACGTGGGGGAGTGGCGAATGTGTGTGTGGCATGAATGGCTTTAGTGGAATTGTTTAGTATGACGGTGGAGGAGCAATCTACAGCCGCTGTGTTGGTTTGATTTTCATTTTCATCCGCAACACCGGTTGAGGTGCAGGGGACTGCACGGTAGAGTACAGTGCCCTTTTCATCATATACATTAGATGGACTACCTGTACTTGCCATGGCTTTTTTTTTTTTTTTTTTTCTTTGTGTACGTTGCTTGTGTGAGTTATATATATATATATAAATATAAATACCTTCAAGTACAAGGTAGGTACACACCTTTTCCTTTACTAGAAGGAAAAGAGAAGATATCAAACAAACAAAAAATAATAATAATAGAAAGAAGAAAGAAGAAAGAAAAGAAAACAAAAATGAGGGAAGATGGGTAATGGAAGCCGAAAACGCAGAGAAACGCAGAGAAAAGAGGATATATATATATATATATATATATATATATATATATAAAGAAGGATTGTAAAATATATGAAAATGTAAAAAAAAGACAAAAAAATGTATACTAAAATCAAATAGAATTGATAAGAAGAAAAAGCAAAAAGAAAAAGAGAAATAATGCAAGTAAGAAGGAAAGAAAAGAAAAAAAATAAAAAAAATTACGAATCCAGATCCACACCCATTGATAACAAAACATCTTTCGAGTATTTAGAAAGCACTTCACGTGCCTTCACGGCATTACGATGTGCCTGTAATGCCTCTACAAGAAGACGTTGTTGTTCTCGAATCCACTCATTTCGTTTTTCACCCTCCAACTCTGGTGGAACCTGTTGAAGTATCATTTCATACGGCGGTACTGTCATTGACATTCCTGTTGTTGTGTTTGTTGTATTTACTTGTGTAGATGGATGTTCGTGTGTAGGGACTGTAGTAGAGAGATTCCCCGCTGCTGCTGCTGCTGCCTCACTCCATGGATCTTCATTTAAATGTGAAGAGAAGAGAGCCGCAATGGTGCGTTCCTCATTACGCCATTTAGTCCCTCTTCGCCCAGCCGATAGTAAATTACTGACGGAAAGATGAAGATTCGTCTCTCTTCTCATGAGTTCCAGTAAAGTGGGTCGAGCCTCTCTATTATATCGACTTCGTTGACCTTCTTTTTCTTCATCATCTCGCATGATAGCAGACCAGGCTTGACTGCTTGATCCATCAGCAAAAATGGAGAAGGTGTGTGGTCTGGTGAAATCCCTCTTTCCAAGTCTAGAACCATTACCACTACCACGTTTCAATTGAAGTTGATAGACATTACCAAGCCAATCACCAACAATATGAATAGTAGAGAGCAAGGACCATGAAGATAACCAATTGCTTATACCAAAATTGGTATTATTATTATTATTATTATTATTATTATTATTAGTAGTAGTAGTAGTAGTATTCATAATAGTGGTACCGGTATTAATAGTGGAAAATGGCAAGTTCGTGGAATTTCGCCGCCCAAGCATTTTATCTGGCATTTGCAATGTTGTAACGGTTGTTATCCCTGATGATGCGAAGAATATACCACGTTCATGCCATTTACCTTTAATAAATGCACATTTCGCTTCTTTCTCATCTTTCTTTATATTTTCCATCTCCTCATCTTCATCTTCTTCTTCCTCTTCCTCTTCCTCTTCTTCCTCTGGTAGGACGTGTCTTACGCTCTTTCCAGGGTTAATACTCTCTTCCCCCAATGCGTGCTCAACTTCACGAAATGGAAATACGGTGAAGAGCCGCACAGAACCATCACGACATCCCACTGTGAGATGCAATGGGGTAAATACATCCCGCCAAATATACGGTTCAGTTGTATCTTCTGAACTCTTCACGGTTTCTGAAGGTCCTGTTGTTAATGCAATGGAGTCCACAGGCACACGTCTACCATGACGACCCACCATCTCTGCAGAATGACGAAGAATAAGGCGTACACCTCTTTTATATTGTAACATACATCCCAATGTATTATTATTATTATTATTATTATTAATCATAAACTGTATAGCATCCCCTTCATCTTCTGATTCCGCTGTAATTGTTGAATCTCTTTCGTAGATGGCCTCAATCAGTAAGACTGTACCCGAACTTGTACCAAGGGCGAACAATAGAGAGAAAAGAGATGATGATGAAAATAATAATGAAGATGATGATAAGAATGAAGAAGTAGAATTTTTACGTTTTACTTCTGTCCATGCTCCTCGTACACGAATACGATTACTCACACAAAGAAACGCATCTCCCTTTTCCAACATGTATTCATCATTTATTTCAGATTCTACAATATGATAATCTGGTGATATTTTCTGAATTGGCAAAGCAATCATGGATTGTAAAGATGCCACTGCGAGATGACAACGTTGACGTCCAACTACAATAAAGCTTCCATCCAGTAAATACATATTTCGATTCTTACAAGAACCATCACAATTATTACTAACAGTTAATCCCTTTGAATCCTCTGTATTAGGAGAAGCAACAGTATTATCATTAATAGTATCACCAGTACCATTACTACTACGTTCACTGTTACTGTTACTGTTACTGTTATTATTATTATCAGATAACTCTGTTTTCTTTTCCTTCTGTCCTATTACCTCCTTTTCTTCTTTCTCTTCCTTTTCTTCTTCCTCTTCTTCTTCTCTATGGCTCTCTCGCTCACGCCACATTAACGGCAAACCTCCGATAATTTCCTCCGCAAGTTTCACTGAAAGAGAGATTGAAGTATTACTCATACCAGTGGGTGATGAAACTCCAGAACACATACCATCCTTATCCAACCGCACACACTCAAAAGGCTTCACCCACTTAAATGTAGCACGTTGGGGTGCACGTCTATGATCCTCCATCTCCATCTCATCATTATTCTTATTCTTATCACTATCCAAGTCTCTGGAAACTTCTTCTGATTCTTCTTCCTTCTCCTCATCTTCCTCTATAGTACTACTATGACAAGAGAACCGTTCATAGTTATCAGATGAACTCTCACTCTTTGCAGCTTTATCTGTTAACAAAGCTTCATATTTTTTATCCTCAGCCTCCGCAATTTGATCTGTGCAAACACAGACAGAGAGTTTTTCCGTTTTTAATTCTCGTTCTCTTACTACTACTCCCACTTGTTGTAAACTATAAGGAGAAAACACCCTTCGACACATCTTCTCAGTGGGACGCTGAGGTCCAGTCACGGATATCATGCGAGTGTCATCTTCATACATCTCCCATGCTGCCATCATTCCATTTGCTGTAAAGGCAGTCGCACGTGCACGGAGAGAATAATTATGAAGATTAGATGTATACACAGCATTATCATTATCATCATCATCATCATCATCATCATCATAATCATTATTATTATTATTATCATCATTATAATCATTATTATCATCATTATTATTATCTTTACACTGTTTGTGTTTTCGATGCTGATGTTTACTTTTATCAGATGCCTTCTCCACTACACATCCAACAAACACAACCGGATAGACACCCTCTTCTGCTACAGATATACGTTGCAGCAAAAGTCCTTCACGGCGATCAAGTCCGGGAGTTGCGGCCCAAACAAAAACTTCTCCAACGGCAGTTCCGCATAAAATACGTTTATTCTGCATACCAATACAAATACAAGAAACACGGTTTTGTTCATGTGAAAGGGAAAAGTAGGGTGTAAAGGATTCTTCCTTACTTCTTGTATAATCAGAAACACCCCCACTTACATCTTCATGAGCGGTAAAAACAAGTGCTAGACCATCTACACCAGCAGTAACAAAGAAAGAACCATCCGAGGCGGCTGCACATGCTGTTACTATCATTGCATGTTTTCCATTTAATAAGGTAGAATCTGTATAATCTGTTTTTGCCAGAGACCATTGTTTAAGATTTCGCTCCATTGAAGATGTAAAAAGAGTTCTGGGTTTCTTTTGATGAAAAGCAACCGCCGTTACGGCAGAACGATGTGCATTCAGTGTAGTGAAGGTTGTACCTGTTACCCCAGCATAAGTAATGCGAACGCCACCGTGTTCATTTGCAGAAGCCATGAATACCGCATCTGGTGAAAAGGTTAAACATGTAATGGGAATACCAACATGAAGTTTAAGACGAGCACTACACTCCGCTGAGGCGTAATCATATAAACAAATATCTCCATCATATAAGGCAATCGCACAAGTTACTACCATAGAAGGCATAAAAGCTAAAGCTCGTACAGGACTTCCTGTTTTCACCATATGATATTCATAAGGTAGTTTAGTACTGGCTACACTTTCCTTGCTAAGATTTAATGTAGTGACATGATGTAAAGATTCTCGTAAACGTTCAGTGTTAATAAAATAAACACGACCTTCCCATGATCCTGTTGCGAGAATTTCACCAGAACCATGATAAGCTACACATGAGACTGGAGCATTATGATGTTTTAAAATTTCATTTGCTTCTAAACTAGATCGTACTGTAGCTTCAGCCACACTACTTACCACTTGCCAAAGGGCACAACTACTATCATAACTACCCGTACAAACAATACTTTCTGTAGGATGACAAGCAATAGAAGAAATACAACGTTTATGAGAAATAAAACTTTGTTGAAGAAGACTATTATCTTCAAGACTCCAAACTCGTAGAACTCCTCGACCACATCCTGTAAGTAATATATGAGATCTGTGAGGTAAAAATGCAATAGCGGTAACTGGGGCATTATGTTTAAGTGAAGCCGCTATTTGATCTAATCTACCTTGAGGAATAACACGTACCATTAAATCATCTCCTCCACCTGCGATATAATTACCATCATCACTTAATGCGAGAGTTTGTATTGGTTCTGTAGATGGGAATATAATTGTTCGACCTTCTTCACTTTTTTGATTCTTATTTAGCCATTTTACCCATGTATCATTCCTACAACCTCCTGTTTTTCTACTCTCTGATGGAGATAGAACATCATGAAAGACGTTATTAAGATAATTCCTATTTCGAACATACTGCCGTAATATCATTGGTCGACATTCTAGAATACTATAATGTTCTTGTAAAAAATCAACAATTGGACTTAGTTTATTTGATAATTGTGAATTCAACATCACAGCTTGAGAGAGAATATTTAAAAAACGTTGTAAATAGGTCGCATTTACAATTAAATTCTCTACTAATGGTAAATAGGAAGCTAACACCGATAAGGCCTCATACTCTTTCGCTCGTAAGGCAAAATGAAGAAGTGCTAATAATTGACTGGCGGAATATCGATATGGATTAAACACACATTTTTCTCTTTCTGTACATCGCCGAATAGACTCTAACGCTACGCGAATACTCTGCCGTACATCATACCGCTCAGCATCTATAGAAACTGGACGAAAGTACAACTCCGCAGCGAGAAACTTCGCACAGGCATCAATAACATCTGAAGATCGTGGAAGATACCGGGCGGCAATAGAAGCCTCAAAAGATGCACTGGAAATCGCTACACGTCTTCTTACTATACGTAAACAAGTTCCATTTAATAACATCACTAGACGAGATGCAGGGGCTACATTAGAGACAAGACGATAAAGATTAAATTCTTTAATTCCACCAATATCATGTGCGAGATATAAGGCAATGAGAACTGTACGGCACGTTTTTTCATCAAAACGTTCTTCTAATTTTTTATATGCCTCAAGATGTAATTGAGAAAGAGTAGAAGGAAGTCGTACAATATCACTTCTTAAAGTGTCAAATGTACTAAACAAACGTAAATAGGTAATAGCGTAAGTAAGATAGGAAGCTTGACTAGCACCTGTTTTTCGAAGAAGTAATTTTAATTCATTCACACGAAATGATTCTTGTAATCGTTTCCCATAGGAAGCTAAATGTCGACGAACCAGTTCAGCCCGTTCAGACATACTTAAATCTGGTAATGGAATACTTCGTGCTGGTGGAAGACGTGATTTAAGTGCTGTCGCAATTGGACTACCAAATGAAGTAGTAACAAGAAAACGTATCTCTGAACCAGTACCAGGATGAACTAACCATCCTAAATTACTTAATATTTCTGTCGAGTATGGGGATTTATCCATACCATCTAATATAATACAAATTTGTTTCTTTTTCTTTGCGGCATCATAAATACGTGGTAAGAGTTGTAAAAGTAATGTAATGGGATCACTCTCTCGTACACAGAAATCTTCCTGTAAACCAAGACGATATACCAATGAAGAAGCGATATAATATACCAATCGTCGCAGACTTCCATCACTGGCTTGACAGGCGAAATGAACCACCATTACATTCGTATCTTCCCTCTTGGCAACATGGGCTGCAACAGCTGCAGAAATAGTGGAGGCTCCATTTCCTTCAGTCCCTTGCAAAAGAAGAACATTGTGTTCTGAATCCATTGTATACGGGGTAGTGGAAGTAGAAGAAAGAATAGCGTTAGTAGTAATAGTAGTAGGATTAGGATTAGTAGGATTAGTATTAGTCATTATTGTTCCTCCTTCTTCTTTTTCTACAGCTCCTTCTGTTTTTATTGTTGTGGTTGTTGTAATAGAACTTGTTGGGTCACGACCGGAAAGAACAAAGAGAGATAATTTCTCTACAAATCCCATTGGAGGTACAAAAGTCTTGAGAAGTGTAGATGTAAAACTTAACTGATCCAAGTGTTCTCTTTCATATAGTGTTTGATTAACCCTTGATTTATGTGTAGCCTCTGGATTATTCTTGGCAGTATCTTGATGAGCCTCTACATTATCATAGCCACCACCCAACTCTACAGGAAGATCAAAGTGATGTTGAACAATAGACTTTAGAGCCACATAAGCCTTTCGTGAGAAATCAGTCATATCCAATGGTATAGTTGTTGCAGATATTGTAGATGTTAAATTATTTGTAGAAGTAATAGAAGGCATTGTCATGGCATTTGTTAAAGAAAAGGTTGAAAAAGGATTATCTACTGTCGCTTTATGTGTTGCCGTGTATGGAATAATAGGAGCTCCTTGTGTTTTTAAATAACTCGTAAGTTTCGTAATAGACTGCATGGTTGTTGGTGTATCTGGGGCATAGGCATCTCTCTCTCTTCCAACGGGAAGAGAATTTATTAAGGTTGTCTGATCACGAATAAGAAAAGCCATTGTAAGTGGAATTCGTTTCCCTGTTCGTCTTGCAGATGTAAAGATTGCATGTCGCATTTCCATTTCCGTAACAGACATTTTATTTTCTTCACTCTGTTCTAATGGATATTGTCGTAACCATGCAAAGTCTGCAGGATCCACATCCTCATCTACACGATGATATAATGTAGGAGGACAATATCCATACCGAGAACCCAATATACCAAGAAAGAATGGAGAACACCGGGAGACTTCATTTAGGCAAACAGAAACAGAGAGATTGGAACTTGTGGCATCTTCCGTAATTCCCCAGCGAAGATCCACATCGAGGATGTTTACATGTAATCCAGCTTCTGCTACCCAACGACGTAGGCGGGGAAAGACATCTAACACAAGTGCATTTCGTTCACTCTCCATATCAATAAAGGTAGAGGAAATAAAGAATCGACAATCATGATAAGTGGAAAGAAATAATGGTTCTGGTGAAATTAAACCAATCTTGTTTTTATTTCCTACTTCTTCACTTGTTTTATCTGCTGCTGCTGCTGTTGTTGTTTTTTTCTTTTTAGGGCTACTAGGGGATACATTTTCTTCAGATCCAATAGTAGCGGATGTTGAACCTCCAACCAAAGCCTCATCTGAAAAACTTTCTAATGTTTGTACATATGAATGCATTCGTCTTTTCTTCTCTAGTTTAGATACTTGTTGTAATACTCGTAGTTCCTTCTTAAAGGTTTGATCTGGACGAATAGCTGCCCGGTTAACATCATATACTTCATCCGCTCGTTCAATATATCGTCGAGGTCCTCCAGAAACACGTTCGGCTACAATACGTAATACTGCATCTGAAAACCCCGTTAATAAGATATCATGTTTATGATTATAACGAAGTTGAATATTTAATTCCACATCAAATGATGTACTAAGACCAACAAATAATAATTCCTCATTACATATACGACGCATTCGTTCTAGATAGACAGGAAGATCTCCTAATGAAGGGGCATCATTTTGTCCAGTAAAGCAACTATGTTTACCACCCATAACAACTAAAGATTGAAGATTTACTCGATGTTCAATTAAGTTATCAAGATAAGCATAAGGGAATTTTATCTTTGTACTAGGATCTATCCATCGAGGACTACTCCATTCAGTTGAACTTGAATATGGATCTCTCTCAGGCCACATCAGTTCTCGACAGAAATAACCAACTCTCTCTGCATTCTCTAATATACCACCCTCATGTCTAAAGTCCCATCCCATCACACGATATTGATCTCCACAAAGTATTAATAATTCACAATGTTCACAGGCATATTTAAAAGATACTGCCAGTAAAGCCGCTTTATCTATATCCGCCATACCATAATTGCTTGAAAACATAGATTCATAACTTGCATTTAATATAATAAGAGAACTTCCACGAATTGGAACAATATTAACTCTTGCAGATATTTCAGCTGCTTGATTTAAAGTTGATTGATATTGTGTTTGTAATAATTTTACATATTTCTCACTAGGAGGTTTATCCTTACATATCTTTCTTTTCGCCCCAGAAGGAGGTTTTGTGTACAACCTCTTTATAGCCTTCTTTGGTTGAAACTTCAGAGACTCATAAGCACTAAGAAATCGATAAGGAAACTGACGTGACATTAATACTTCTTCTTCCGATGTGAATCGATTCATAATAATCGTATGTGTCTTTTCACTACAGTTATGAAGTATCATATTACGTAGATTCCGTAATGCTGCCATGAAAGGTAATTGTTTACGTTCAACAAGATTATCCCATATAAATCCATGATTCCCATGAGCAGAGAGTTGTGTTTCCCATGTTTCTGGTACTGGTAATTTCATTCGTCGACCACACTGTGTGGGATCAAATGTACGTGTACCGCCTTCATCTAATCCTTCTTGTCGGAAGGCCTCTTCACTGTTGGGATATCGTTTCCCTAGTAAACAACAAACAATATAGGCAGGACGTGATATATGTAGTCGTCGGATAAGTTCTTTAATGGTTAACGTGGAATAATAATAATAATAATAATGTTCTTGTGGAAAAGGAGTCATAGCAGTAGTAATAGTATTAGTAGTAGTCGTATTAGTGGTAGACATTTCATTTTTCTTTAACTCTTCTTTCTTTTTAGCACGTGCCCTTTTCACAGATCTTTCATTATTATACTTGGCAAGAGTGAATTCATCAAAGAGCTTAAAAGTCGCCACAAGCGCATGCCGTAAAGCATTTGGTATTCCTTTTCTTTCCTGTATAAAATTAACGGCCTCATTTTCTTCTTCTTTTCCATAATTAATGTAAAGACATTCGTATGGTTTTTGCATAGCGATATTCGCAATGGTTAACCAATCCGATGGTAATCGAATAATACGTTTCATATAACATTTAAGAAATGGCTGACATTTGGGTTGAAATGCAGATAAAGCGACGAGAAGTGCAGCTGTACGTCTAATGTTAAGATCATGACGAATATAAAGTGCAAGTTTCAACACAAACTCTCCATCCATACTACTGATGATGTTAACTAATTCCGCAATACGTATAGTGTTCTCTAATTGAGCATTTGCCTGTGGAGAGAGGGGTGGTGGTTTTGGTGGAAACTGCACTTCCTGCAATAAAGAGGCACTCACACGGCCGATGAGTTCATCCTTTTCATGCCGTACATCCGCAACGGTTTCACTGTAGTGAGAGAAGGAGAAGGACTCATCTGGATTACTATCCTCCTCGTGTTTTAGTCTACGTTGATTGGTTCGTACGGTGGAACTGTGAGTGTCTGTCATTCCTTTGGGATTCTATTTGCTTGCTTTCTTTATGGATAGATGTATCAATGTATACATATATATATATATATATTTTTTTTTTTTCTTGTTCTTTTCTTCTTTCGTTCGTTGTTTTGTTTTTCTTTTTTTTTTTGTTTTGTGCTTTGTGCTTTGTATGTTTTTTTTTTTATTTTTTAATTCTTTTCGCTTTGATAGCAAGGATGCTTTCTTCACTATGCGAAAAAGGAGAAACCAATAAAGAACAATAACCAAAATAAAATTGGAATGCGAAGGAAGCCTTAAGAGCAAATTTGCAAGTATGCATAGATTTCAAATAATAATAATAATAATAATAATAATAATAATAATTACTATTACTATCTCAACAATATGGCACGATAAGAAGAGAAAAGGGAAAAAAAAGTCAGAAAAACATTGGGATATTCACCTTCACCACCACTATGCTTGTGTAGGTACTCAATCTGTGCATATATATATATATATATATATATATATATATATATAGTGTGTCATCTATTTCTTATTCCCTTACTCCTTCACAACATTACAAACAACACAGAGAAATAGAGACACATGCACAAATAAACCCCACGAGCCTATTTTTTTTTTTTCTTTTCCTTTTTTTTTCTTTTTCTTTTTTTTTAAAAAAAAGTCTTCTTCTTCTTCGTCCCTCACTCTTTACACAGTCTTTGCCATGTAAACGCAGGTATATATATATATATATATATATATATATATATATATGTATACACCCTACCTGTCCCTAAATTACCTATTTCACAGACACCAAATAATTGCACAAATAAACCATCGCAAATACAAATAAAAATAAATAAATAAATAAATAAACACGCATAGATATAGATAGATATACACACACAAAAAAAAAACACGTACAACAACAGCAGCGAAGTAAACAGACAATCAACAACCAACTTTCCCTTCACCTAACCTACACAATATCTCCTCCCTCCACTCTCTCGCTCCCTTTTACGTATGTTCTGTCAAAGGGAAATGTGTTATAGATATTGCTGTTCCTAGTACTACTACAACTGCTGTTGCTACTACTACTGTTTAATAGTGTCGTTACCTCCTCCTTCTACCTTCTACCTTGTTCTTCTTTTTCTTTTATTTATTTATTTATTTATTTATTTAATTTTGTTTTTCTTTTTTATTCTTCTTTCTTAAAAGGCCTTTGTGACAACTGTTGGCTTAAAGTCCTTTGGGAGATAACCCGTCTGCTCCGAATTCCAATCCATCTGCCGTGGTGGGGCGCGATCTCCCCAGAAGTACATCGTCGCTCCCTCCCATGAGAACATCCACAGAAATGCGTAGAGGGTCGGGGTGGCGATGAGATACTCACGCCGCATGGCAACCGCGCGGTTCATCATCCATTTAATATCCACAAGCCGCAGATACCGCAGAGCCCCGTTAAGATGACCAAAGAAACCTTTACATTCGTCTGCTGGTGGGATCTCTGCAAGTGTGGGGCGAACGAAGAGTTCACCACCACTGCGACGAATGGGTGTGCGGCGGAATAAAGTAATGCTGCTGCGACGAAGCATGAGGCTTTCTCTTACGTAAAGGCGAAAATACTAAGAGAATTATAATCTACAATCTATAATAAAGAGTAAAAGGAAAGTAAAGTTGGTATGATTGAAAGAAGTAAAAAAACAAAAAAAAATAATATATATATATATATATATATATATATACTAGATGAAGGTAAATAAAACAAGTGAAAATAATAGTTATAATATACAATTGTAAGAAACAACGACAGCAAGGAGAAAAAAGAAAAATAAAAAAAAATCGTAATATCAGTTAATCAGTTAATATGTGGTAGTGTATTTCCCATCCATCCATCCATATATAATAATAATAATTTCTGGTATGTTTACTCTTTTGTTTTTTTTTTTCTTTTTTTTTTCTACCTTCTTCTGTGAAAGTAACTCTTCACATATAGCATTTTACCCCATACTTGCGTTATTTGCCTCTCGTAGACTGTTGAGAATACTGGCAGTCGTTATACGTGGGAGAAACACACGACCGCCTTTTCCCACTACACCACCAAACGTCTCAGCAACACACAACTTCTGAACTCTATCTTTTGTTAATAACACAATAGGCGGACCACAACCTCGCATGCTCTGCAGTAATAATTCTCCCATTAGTGCGGCCGAGACGAAATCTCCCGATTCACTCCGTGTGGCTGCATACACTGTAAACATATCCGAATGTGGATGAAGACGTGAGAGTTGAAAGAAAGTGTGTCCAGGACGGGATGTATGTGGAATAAAGACTTCATGTACACATACAAAGGCACATGGTACACGACGAAAGAAACGAAGACTTTCTTCATTTCCCAATAACTCAAATAATATATCTTCTGTACTTAATTCAATATTTGCCACATCTAACATTACTACCACTCTAGCCAAAGGTAATGCTGTTTTCACTACATCTCGTGAATGAGTACATGAGGGAAGTGCTTTAAAAATACGTTTCATTTCACGTGCATTATATTCCGCAAAACTACTCTGTGTAGATCCATTAAAGGCATGTAACCAACTCATATGTCGAGTTATTTCTAACGGAGTCATCCAAGGTGGTTGTGGACCGGAATGAGGAGCCACACTGCAGCATATTGGACAACGATAAAGTGGCATCGTAACATCTATACTATTTATAGATTCAAGTGGACGGTTTAATAGTGCATTCATACGTGTAGAGAAATATGTGACAGATTCTCTAATTCCGGGTGTTCGTCCATACAAACTCATATCAGATTCATTCTTGGGTTTACAAACATCACTTTGTTTATTCACAGAACTCACGGATGTGGCAATAGCAGCCAGAGCAGCAGGATGTTTTTGACGGAGGGATCGCGCTAGTGGGTGGATAAATCGCTCAATATCACGGCGAAGGGAGGCCGAGTTAGTACCGCAGCCAGAAGTAGGTACACGCATTACCGAATACCACACTTACTGTCACTAAAACGTAGAAGCGAAAAAGGGGGAAATAGTAAAAATATGCTTCCTACTTTAGTCAAACCCTACAAACCAAATAAAACAAAAAAAAAAAAGAAACAAAGAAACAAACAGAAATACTCTATGAAGTTCCAAATGATTCCAGAACACAAACTTATCATGAAAACAATAACACGCAATAAACAAAACATACAATCAAATTTTCTATACCGCTGAAGAATCACTCAGCAGGAGTTATGAAGGAGCAGATACCAAGATCCCTTTTTTCTCTCCAGCCACCTCTGCTCACCTTCGCAGGTTGAAACCCCTTTTTGTCAAGCCCATCGCCGACAAAGCGACATCACATGACAGACCGCCTGCTGCGTTGTCGCGCTGTTTTTCTCTTTCATGGTCGTGCTATCCATTTCTTTGGTGTTTCCCCGAGGGCGTTTCACTTCAATGAGAGAAAAAGGCACGACTCAGGAACCTATTTCGAATGATGAGGCATCCTTCATTAAACCCCTCGCATCTCGCAAAAGAGCTGCGTCCACCACGGGAATGACTCTTGAACTTTTTCTCGGACACTAGCATGTGTTTAATCCCAGCAAAGACCAAATGTGTTAGAAGCAACAAAAAAAATTCCCCGTCCAATTAGGATACAATCTAACCAATATCAAGCACCGCCGCCTGAACTGGCTGTAGAGGGTTTGTAATTTCTTCCTCTACTGATGCAATCCTTGCGTGCTTCTGCCGAAGATGTGTGATCGTACTATGACCTCTTTTTATCTTTTCTTTTTATCACATCAACGCCGACACCAACGAAAACCTTCGTGAGCAATGCCGTTTGTTGGCCAAGATGTCAAGCCATTTCCTGCGGGAGGTCGAACGGATCCATACCGTGAACCTCAACCAACTCTGCCAGGTGCCTCAATGCACCGCACTTGTTCGAATGAGCAGTGCCACCATATGGAACCAGAATACGTTCCACGTTGTTGGTTGTCAAATGTGTCCTCGCCCTGAATCTTTTTTATAAAGCGGGAGGCTTGATGGGGATCCATTTTTGCCGTTTTCGCAACCACGGTCTAATCCAAAATCAAAGCTCCGACCCCCGACCTGCAGAAAATTCTTTTTCGTCAAAGTTGCGATTTCCGACCATCGACTCGCCGTGATCCGCGCCAAGCGGAACGCTGCTTAATCCTTCTAATCCGTGCGCGACTGAAATGCTCTAGTCCTTCTAGTGCTATGATAATAGTCTGGCCTGGTTTATCTCTGAATGCGCCGCCATCTCCTGCAATCGCATTACAAACATGTCCATTACCGTTGTTTCCAAAAATATCGTGACACTCAGCGTTCATGCTTACTGTAAATTTGCCAATGGGTCCAAACCGTTTGCGGTGATAAAAGCTATTGCGCTCTCCTTTTTCATCGGTTTCCCGTGTGAGCTCGGCAAAACGTTTCAAACCGCTCTGCCAACGAGAGTGTCTCTCTGTTGCCACGTCGATGGTGTCCCGCATCTCCTTCGCATTGGCGTTCGCTATCCGAATATATATTTTTCCCAAATGGGAGATGCCGAGGATTAGTGGTACCAAATCTGAACGCCGTTGGTTGAGAATGTGGAACCCCTGGGCCTGTTATTTTGATAGGCGAAGTACAAAACAGGATGCAAACGGGATCCTGCGGGCCTTCGAATTAAATCTATAGGGATCCTGTCATTCTGGGCTGCACGTCGCCACTGGCAACGGTGGGAGGCGGCTCCTCGAAAGTTTTTTGAGTACCGTGATTGGTTAGAAGTGCCTTGACGTGGCCTATTGTATTTCGGCAACCGCACATTACACGTGGATGCCACATGGCCAAAACGCTTACAACGCAAACAACGAAGGGTCTTGGTATCCCGTTCCTCCTCAAGCAAAGACTGTGCTACCTTTGCGAAAATGTCGTCGCTGTTTAAAGCCGTATAAAGTCGCGATCGTATGAGTGACTTTGACAAAGAAGGATTCTTATCCAATAATAAAGCGGTACGAAATTTATTCAACGCCTTTTCGCCAATACGTATCATTAACGGAGACGGGTGGGTTTGTTTCCTGAATTAACTCCATCCAATCATAAAGTGCATCAAAGGCTTCTTTAACCTCTATGGACCTTAGCCCCCAATAATCAAACTCCCTTCGCAAAGTTAATTCCAAAGCTGAAATTCCCCTATTATGTAATATGGGGATCCAAGTAGAGACATCAAAAACTTTAAATTCCTGTTTAGAAATATCAACCTCTTCTTTATTCCATCCCTTTCCTTACTTCCTTCGTCGTCGCCACCCCTAAACAGTACACCTTCGCCACTCTGTGGTAGCGGGGGTGGCGCCTGATACCCGCCTCCATTAACTAAGGGCGACTTGACGGTCAGAGGAGCTTTCATAATTTCAACAGATTCCGTCCCTTGAGGGATTGATGCCGCCCGCGCAAAAAAAAAAAAAGGGGATACCCGCCAACGGTTCCACCTGACCGTCTATTTTTCTTTTAGGCTGAGTTTGGGGAACGTCTTAACTGAGCTTTTTTACCGCAGCAGTCAACCTCGACAATTCCTCTTCTCTGGCATCCAAGTATTGATATCTCTGGTTAAATCCCTGATTCACCTCTTTCAGAAAGTTCGCAAAGATATCAGACTGACTATTTAGCTGCTCCATGCGTTGACGGAGAAGTTCCTCCCTTGCATCAAGCGTAGCAGCATTAATATTTAGGTACATGAATGCCTCTTTCTGTTTCACTAAAGCCTTTTTTTCTTCAAATTCCATATTGGCTTTGGCGAATTTTCTGTTCAACACATCCAGCTGGGCAGTAAGCATACCTGGCATCAAGTCAACGTTTCTAATGGCTGAACAAAGGGGAAGCAAAAACCTAACCTCAAAAGTGGGACAATCGGGTGTGTGCATATCTGTCACCCGATTAATCAAAGTAGAATCCAACCAACATCTCCAACTTCCGCCGTCCTCCAAAACGAATCCATATCTGTTAAATGTGGCGAGAGCTTCACACTTTAATACCGAATCCCCGTCAATTATTGCTGAAAACCACCTTTGTGGGTCCATTTTGACGTACATGACTTTCCATGTGCATCCCTAGATCTTCCCACTGATCAAAAGGGTATGGAATCAAATCCATACTTGCAAATATACTGCTTAAAAAAAAAAATAAAAATAAAAAAAAAAAATAAGACCAACACTTATATCCCTTCTAAATGTTCAGCCAGAGTCTCTTTGAGACCTTATCAAAACCTAGGGAAAAGAAGATTACAAAAACACCTTCAAAACCTAGACTGTTGTAAAGACCAAATCCAGATGTATATTCTTTTCAAAAGCCTCCATCCCACCAAAAAGAAAAAAGAAAGAAAAGAAGAAAATGGAAAAAAAAATAAAGTAACATTTTACAAGATACATTTTTAAATGGATTGAGTTACTCACTTCTACCTTAATTCGACAGGGCTGAATCGAATGAAATCAATAAATGTGCAACAAAAATAGGTTTTTCCACCACATCAATAGTAACCTGTCACTGTCACTGTCAATGTTGAGTTGTAGTACTATATAATTTCCATCGTTGTGGAATATAAGTATATTTTAATATATATATTACAAATGCTGTTATATATAAATGCTGTTATACATGTATTTGTTTACATAAATCAATCGAAAGGTATGATATTTTATACCGTCATAAGAAGAGAGGAAACACACAAAAACAATCACAGAAAAAGTATCAAATAACAAGGAGATGAATATCACGATGATCATAATCATGATGACAAAACAGTACAAGATGGATAATTAATGTATATATAAATATATATTTATATACAGAGAGAGAGAAAGAGACATAGAAAAAGAAAGAGAAAGAAAACAATTTTATTTATTGCTTTTCTTTTCTTTTCATTTACGTAGTGAATCCAAGCCAAAATCTTCTCTTCACGCCTATTACCCCGTAATAGGAGGAACATCTACAAAGAGCATTGTTGGCATCGTCAGGAGTTCCGGTTCTGTGCCCACTACGTCCTCCGGCACAGCCAAACAAGTAATAATCTGTTCAGGGCTACAGTATCCCGCCTCTACTGCGGCAGCAGCGGTATCCAACTCCATCTGCGCATTTGCCTGCACTTCACGCTGCAACAATGGCATGCGTACACGTTTCCCCCGTTCCTCGAGTTCAAGTAAACATTCGTCAATACACAGGCGGAGTTCCTTCTGTCCACCATGGCAGTTAAGGAGTTGCAGCACTGGGCCGAGGAATGGACGATAACGTGGGGGAATTGGAAGTGTACCGAGTTGGGCTAACAATACACAGAAGGTGTGGGCGAGGCGTAAGGTGCGGAGATAGAGTGGAGCCCACAATGCCTGTTCCGCCCGCAGGAACTCACGATAAGGTGAAACATGACAGTTGTAATGTAATACCGCACATTCATTACGGTGTAATGCGGCAAGTTGTTCTCCATATGTTGTTTCTAATTGTAATAGAGAGATCACATTGGAAAGTTGCTCCATAATACAGTCCACATCTGTTTGTGTGAAGGGTAAGGAAGAGGGATATGTAAAGTCTCCAGGTTGGTGTCCTTCTGAATTCCTTATTAGTTCAGCGGCTAATCGATGGTATTGTACACGTAGACGTTGAAGAGATGGAAGAATTGTCTCATTGTTTTCCATGAGTGCAGAGGCGGCAACAAAGTACAGCTGTTGGACATCAAGTACATAGTGATTACGTTGTGTTGGTGCAGCTAATATTTTCTCATGATTCATCAGTTGTAATGGTTTTTCATATTGTTGTTGTTGTTGTTGTTGTCGTTCGTTTTCTTGATGTAGAAGAGATGGAGAAATAGATAAAGAAATGGAAGTCGCTTGTGATCTCCTCTTTTCTTCTTCTTCTTTTCCTCCTCCTTCTCCTTCTGGTACTTCAGATGGTGATCTAGTTTTGTTTTTCACTTCTTCTTCCTCTCCTCCTGTAGAGACTACCGTGTGAATAGATAATGCGACGATAACTCTAGCAAGAATGCAGCGATGTACTTCTACAGACTCTTCATTTGCGAGTTGTTTCATCATTGCTGCCCTCCATTGACTCTGTCGAACAATAGCTGCAGTATCAATACTGTAGGCAACTAGTACTTCATAACGGCGTGGGGGTTCACCAAGAATATCATTTGTAGAGGAAAGAAATGTATGAAGATCAAAGGAAGAAGAAACAAGATTAGTATCTTCTTTCATATGTGTATTATCCACATGTGAAATCATATGAGTGACCTTATTATCGCCAACATTACTTTTATTACTATTACTGACAGTACCTTGATGAGTAGCAGAGGGAGTATTACCTTGTCTCGATGATTGTGATATGCCTGAAAGTGTGAGACCATCTACAGTCACAACTCGCATTCGTCCACTGTGGGAATCAAAGTATAAACGAATTGGAAATAACATTTCTTGAGTGGACGGTATTGCAGATGCGTCTACCTGTACGAGAGAATCAGTAATGTTCTTTGTGTTTCGATCTAATAAAAATAGTGATGATTGTCGTTGTGGTTGTCGTTGTGATTGTAGAGAAGGTATTACACCAGGTAAGAGTGTATCAGTTGCATTGATGTGTTTAACAATATTTTGGGTAATTTCCTTAAGTGTAGAGAAATCATTATTTTGAATCACTCGCTCTACCCAATTAATTTCCTTGTATACACTACTACTTGGAGCGAAAAGAATTCCCTCTCGAAACTGTCGAAATGTATCAAACACCTTGTGAAAGTGATGTTTAATATCAGAAGATTTTTTTACATCTGATGTCTTTCCCTTATAGGAACGTGCAATTTTCTCAATAAGAAGATGTAATTTCTGTAGTGGAGTACTACATATCGTGCTATTTATGCTACTCATGCGGCTTTTATTATTATTATTATTATCTTCATCAACATAACTTCCATTTCTACTTCCCTGTATTAATCTCATTTCATTAGATACTGGACTTGTTAAGATACGCTGGGCAATAGATTGTTGAATAACAGATGGATCTGTAGATTGTGGAACCAATTGTAGTAATTGTGCTGTTGCATGATATTCCTCTCTCATTAATTCTTTTTTTTGTTCCTCTTCTTGTTGTTCTGGTGATGCCATTTCTTTACCTTCATCTCCCTTTGCTTTCTCTTCTATTCCCTCTTCGTTTGTCCATGGACGAAGAAGGGTTTTCCATCGATTTTGTTTCATCATACGTTCATGTTGAGCCACTTCATCTCGCGCCTTCTCTTGTTCTTCTATTTGTCTAGCCAGACGATGTCGTTCACGCTTTTGCAAAGCCTGATGTCGAATGAGTGACTTTGCGAGAATTAAACGTTCTTCCTCTTTGTAAATAAGCATCATACAAGTCTCGTGTAGTTCACTGGGATTATCCCGTTCTGTCAACGGTACTCGAGAGACTACTGTACACCAACTGTTTATGGCATTTATAAAGCGCTGTGCCCGCATGTAACGAAAACGCTGTTGTGATGATAACGCTTGTATATCCTTTCGCATTAGTTTGTGTAACGTAATTTTCCCACTCTTTCTTTTCTTTTTTTCTTCTTCTCGATGTTGTTGATGATGAGGATGATGAGGATGATGATGTTCAGACGGCGAGAAGACAGATGATAAGGATGATGTAGATAATAATGAGGATAAAGAGGAAGAAGAAGAGGAGGCGGAAGAGGAAGAAGTATTGCTCATAAGAGATGCGGCGTTACTGCAGATGGAGGCTGTAGAGAACTTTCTCATTCCACGGCGACGGAATAACCGCGTATCATCTGGATAACAACAGGACTGCTGTAATAATTGCAACTTCAATGGGGGTTTATACCACGGCACCTCCACCATCGTCATGGCTAGCACTGGGCGTTCCACACTTTGTTTGAGTAAAGTATCTCCCATTCCAGTCGTGTTATTCATCACACCATTCGGTAAAGGAAGTGAAGGTGTTGAAAGTGGATTCATCACACCAGCATCATGTGTAGTTCCTAAGGATAACGCTACGGAGATATTCTGAAGAGTTTGAGTGATATGCCAGGCTTCTGTGGCATCTGGATATATAGTTCCAGTACCTAATAAAGTATCCATTGCTGAACACATATCGGTATTAGAGAAGGTTTCATTATACATTCCACCTGGTGAGATATGACTACCTGTTTGATTCATAATTGTACGGCGTAGTTTTTGTGTAGCGATTGTGAGTTCTGAGATAAAAGGCTCTTCGTTTCGTTTTTGTAATTTTGGTAATCGAACTATATGATGCACATCCTTATTATTATTATTATTATTATTTTCTTTATTCTTGGAATTATTGTTATGATGGGGAATGTTGTTATCACCTCGACTCAATGAAATTCCTCTTCTTACGGATGGTATGGGAAGTGGTTGTCCCAATGAACGGGGATTCTCTCGTCGCTTCACATTATTAGATCGCGCCCCATGCATACAAACAGACGTTCCTCTTCACTATAATTCTTTTTTCTTTTTCTTTTATTCTTCTTTCTTCTTCCTTTTCGTGAGTGTAGATGTATGTACTATTCTCTATGCATTATTTATAATTTATCATTATTAGACACAGAGAAAACAGAGAAAAAAACAAGAATAAAAGAAAATATTTTGAAGTCACCACTTAAAGGAAATATATATATATATATATATATATAAAGAAAATGGTAATCAACACATATACAAATATCAGTCTAAAAATGAAATAAGAAGAAGAGAACAACAGCAGACGCCTCTCTATCTCTACACAGAGAGAAAAAAGAAGAAGGAATTATAATCCAAGCCATTAATCGAGTAGCCATTAATTCAAATCCAATTTTTTCTTTTCTTTTCTACACTAACGCCCTACAAGCAGTATAGCGAGCAAACTGGTACAGTTCTTCCTCACTGTGTGCACTACCCAACACAAAGGGAAGTGGCTCCACCTGCACCGTAGATGTTTCTTCCCTACTTCTCTCATCTTCACAGTATGATAGATGCGGCTGATGTAATTCTGCCGCTGTTCGTGCGTGCAACCATCCCTCTGATACAATAAGGACTTTTGTATATAATGCGGGAATAGAGAGATTTTCTTTACTTTTCCCCTTCTGCACGGCGGCTGCACAAATACACTGTAGAGATGCGTTAAATGTGTATAAACCAGCATTTGGATACCACAAAACATCATCTTGAATAAATGGGTCATTATGATCTAATGTCATTCCTAACTCTTCACACTCTTCTGAGATTTCTTTTCTTCTTCTACTTTTTGTTGGAGTGGCGAGACTTCGACATTTTATACCAACAGCAACTGTCAATAGACCTAAAACTTCATTATAGCGTTCTGCAAGCATCGCTTTTACGATTTCGCGAATACGTTTCATATGCCCACCAACAGCCACACTGTGTTGTGTATGTGAATACAATACAAGTACCACTAATCGTCGCGGTAGTGTTATTTTATTTCCACCTAATACTTTTTTTCCTTCTTTTTCTTTTTCTTGTTGTTGAATAGATTCATGTAATATCTGCATAGCCTCACGTGCCCATTTAAAGCGCAAATGAACATCATTGTAAAGAGTGTTAAATGGAATCTCTGCAGTTCCATATGATTTTTCCTGATCACACACCGTCGTGAAGCGACTGCTGAGACGACGGTGAAAACGCACATCTTCTCTCACTGAGAGTGTGGTATGAGGATTGTGAGGAATAATACCACTTGGACTGCATGGAGTATCTATTAGACTATCTTGTGTAAAGGGCAGGTAACTTGATGTATTTATTTGGGTTGAAACCCCCTTCCGTGCTTGTGAAAGACGTTGTAGGAAATATTCCTCCATATTCTCAGAATCACCGCAGTGGGTAGCAGAAGAAACTGCAACTTTTTCTCTGCTACATCCTTTAATTTCTTCTTTTTCTTGTTTTTCTTGTTGTTGTTTTTCTTGTTGTTGTTGTTGTGAGAAGGGTACCACTCGTGTTTGTGCCTTCTTGATGCCGTTACCGCTGTTTACACGGCGTGGAGCAAACAGGAAAGAGTGTCGTCGAAGCAGCATTCACACACTCTGCCGAGTATTCGCTCTAGCAATGAGATCCATAATATTGGAAATAAGAAATATAAACAATATCAATATAAATAATAATATTAATAATAATAACAACAAGAGGAGGAGGAGGTGGTGGTGGAGGAGGAGAAGGAGGAGGAGAAAAAAAGAAAAGAAAACATAATAAAAAAATAATAAAAGAGTACGAGATTAGTTAATATTTCTAAAGAAAAAAAAAGAGGGATATATGTACACATTCCGTTTTTCGTTTCTTACTTTTTTTTCCTTCTTTTTCTCATTCATTCATTCATTCATTCATTCTTTTTTTTTTTTTTTTTGTTTTCCTTCTCTAAATCCGCTGAGACAACATAACAACAACAACAACACAAAAAAAAAAGGATTACTGGTGTACACTTTCACTGGTGTCATTTCCACCTATTGGCACTGGTGCTGTCCCATTCTCAGGCATGTTCTCACTGTTGCTGTTCTTATTATGATTATCATTGCCGCTCCTCTCAACCTCCTCCATCTCTTTCCTTTCCAACTCCACACCCTCATTATTATTATTATTATTAGTAGTAGTAGTAGTAGTAGTATTATTATTATCATTGCTGCTATCTGGCTTAACAGTTCCGAATGCGAGCTCCTTATCACGTGAGGCGATATACCGCTCAAACGCCTCCTCTACATTCTCTCTACGTCCACCAGCACCAAATCGTCCTCTTCCACGTCCACCCCGACGAGCACCAAAGCGACCCATAGAATCGCTTCTATTATTATTATTATAGTTATTATTATAGTTATTATCACTGAAGCCACCACTGCTGCCTCCTTGAATAACGGCTTGGTATTGATCGTGCTGCCACTTTCCATCACCGTCGTCGTCGTCATCATCATCAAAGCCGCGGCGGCCGCGTGGTTTCGCTTGATGGAGAAGCACCACTCCGTGATCACGAGAGAGTGAGACCTTCAGCACACTGCTATCCACCACCCGATCATTCATATTCTGCACAGCCATGCTGGCATCCGCAGGATTGCGGTAGGTACACAGAACACTACCAATAAAGCGGCCAGACCGTTCTGTGAACATCTTGTATGACTCCACAGGTCCAAATGCCTCAAATTCAGCTCGAAGAGCATTTGCCCCATCACGTTCAATGCGTTCAAGGGGAATCTGTGTAATGTACACACGGCAGGTGTTATCAATGATGAGACTTGTAGGCATGGCATCACCATCGCGGAGTACTCGCCTGTTACCGCTGCTGTTATCACCATCCAATCGCCCTTCCGTGAAGGGAGTGAAGGTGTAGTCTTTCATGGAACCAGGCATAATTTATTAGTAGTTTATTTCTTTCTCTTCTGAAGCGTTCTTCTAGTTACTGTATAAACGAAAACGTTTTCTTCCACCGGATATGGAAATAAACGACCCCCTTTTTCCTTCTTCTTGTTGTTGTTTCAACTATTCCGCTAGTGTATTACATAAAGAATGAAAAGTCAGCAAGTGATTCCATAGTGAAAAAAAAGTAGAGATACCCATATATATGTACATATATGTATATATAAACACAGAGAAACATACAAACAAATAAAAAAAGTATAGAGAGAATAAACAGAAAAAAAAAAAAAAAAAAACAGAAACGTACGTTAATCACAGGCACACAAACAAAGATCCCCATATAGATATATCCATGTATTAATATTTATGGAGGCAAAACTCTACTCATGCACTATATTCCCTCTTCTTTTTCTTTCTTTTCCTCCTCTTCTCATATCCACTCCATGTGCCTTCATGGAAACCTATACGACGCTTCGGTCTCTCTCTTTTTTTTTTCCTCTCACATACACTACCCTCTCCTATCAAAGCAAATCATCACCCATCAAACTAAATATATATATAGAGAGAGAGCAGGTTTAGTGAGGTTTGACAGTGTGTCCATCCACGTACATATTGCGTGTGGCCCGTGGAAGTGTAAAGTGCAATCCATCATGTTTATCCTGTCGCAGTATAAGCTGACAACCAAGACGTGAGTTTGGCTGTACAAAGAAGGCTTGATCCAGCATGTCGTTTTCTGCTTCTGTTGGTTCTTCAAAGAGTTCATCGGCGTTTGCCTTCTCATCTAGATATACATGGCAGGTAGAGCAGGCGCAGCATCCACCACAGGCGCCTTCTATCGGCAGTCCTTGTTCGGCAGCCACATCGAGAATTGACTGTCCATCGTAGGCGGTGAGTGTACGTGTGGTGTTGTCTGGGAAATGAACGTGAATGGTGAGTGGCCGCTCACGGTCGCCGCTGCCTTCCCCGCCGTGTTTCCGTCGCTGGAAGAGAAAGGGCGTAGAAAAGATGGAAGAAGATGATGATAAGAAGGAAGAAGAGAGATATGAGTGGGTGAGAAGAGAGGAAAGGGTAGGTGGGGGTCGAAATGGGCGGAGGCGATGTGCAGTTCTGGCTAACATGAATGAGAGAGGACTTGTCTCTGATTTACCTATAAGAGTATATATATATATATATATATTTCTTTTTTTTTTTTCTGTGGTAGGGTGGACGGGATGGATGATGCTCCCTCCTTGTGGTTGTGTGTACACATGCAGAAATAAACGAAAAATAATAATAATAATAAAAATAATAAAATAAAGAAAATAAAGAGATAATATGAATAGCATAATGGGGAAGAGAATGATAAAATATTTAATATACGCTTCATATTGTGTTCACTTATAACAATAACAACAAGAAAAAAAGAAAAGAACAAGAACAACAGAAACAGTACTAGCCAGCAGATTCTGGCTTATACGAAAGTTTGCCGTTAGACACAACAAACAGATACTTCTTTACAAGGTTCGATTCACTAGATACACATGCAAATATACAAACACATAAAGAGAGACAGAGAGACAGAGATAGAGAAAGACCTACTCCAAACCATGGATAGAGTTAGTCTCATCATTGTAGTAGATACACTGCACGTATGCATGTATGAATAAGTGAATAAGAAAAAAAAAAAGAAATAGAGCGTAGATTAAGGAGTTGTTGCTATTCGCATTTGAGTGTCATAAATAGAAAATTTCTTTTTTTTTTTTTTAAGAACAACAAAAAAATAGCAAAAGAAAGAGAAAAAAGATAATCAATTAGACTGTTCCCTGAAAGTCATGAATGAGTAACTCCGTCACCAATGATAATCCCATCACATTATTAGACCTATGATTATTTCTTTTTTTATTATTCTTTATATCTCAGAGAAATTTACGTCGTTTTCTTTTTTTCTTTTTCATTCTATTTCCGCATTCACATCTCTCCTCCGAATGTATTAATATATGTTTGTGTATATGTATGTATACAGTTCCTTTGCTTATATGGTGCAATTACCTTTGTTTTTCTCTTGTTTGCCTTCTTTCGTACCTTTTTTTTTGTTTTTTTTAATGTTTTGTTTTCAGTATGAACGATTTTTTTTGTCTTTTTTTGATTTAATAGAGGTAAGGATTAATAAAAATATTCCTTCGTCGTTTTTTGTTGTTGTTGTTTTCGTTATTCTTTTTCTATCTTCAGTTCACCTTCTTCTTCTTTCTTTCTTTCCTTCTTTTCTTCTTCTTATATATAATTGTTTTCTCTTCTTTTCTTTTCCTTTCTTCTCTTTTAACTTCACACTCAGAACTCCTATGATTATTTATTTTCCGTTCGCTATTGGTTGGTTTTACTGTTGCTACTGCTACTGCCGCCTTCCCCTTCTTCCTTCATACAGTCAAACAGAATACGCCACGTCTTATCAAATCCAAATTCCATCATGGCAAACCCGCCAACGACGAGAATCGTAACGGCGAGCAGCAGTAAATCCACAGAAGTGCTGTTCTCCACAAACACACGCATCACCTGCTCATAGGGGCCAATCAACACAACACCAGGGATGTGTAGACGGAAGGTGGAGAGGGAAACACTGGTCGAGAGGGTACGCCGCAGCTGAGAGGAAGAGGCGGGCGAGAAGGAAGAAGTGGAAGTAGACGTCATCACACGTTGCTTCAGATGCGCCTCCAGCACTTCCGCATACTTCACCACAGCCAAATTACCATCCGCAGTGAATGCCAATGGACTGCGCTGCGATTCCGCCGCATATCGTAATAAACCCGCCATATACGCATCACTGCCCACCCATTGTTGTTGTGATTGTACAGAAAGATTCTCTGCGGTATCAGATCCACGCAGCAATTGTTGTGCAAAGGCATGAATGAAATCCACACGTCGTTTCAATTGCATGGCCATAGCGGGTGTAGTTGTGTTAAGAGATGCAGGAATGGGAATGCGACTACCGCGGAAGAGTTGATCTACACGATATGTACGAGTAGCGGAAAATGTTACGGCAGGAATCTGTCGGTGAGCGAGTACTTCATGTTCAAAGCGAATATCATAATGGTGATAATCTGTCTTTGAAGAAAGTACGGTAAGAGCGATACCGTGTTGCGTCGCAATAGCCTCAGCTGTTTCTTTTACTTTCGCATACTGTGGACTCTTCGCAAAGGAATCATGCACATGCATATAAAGTGTTGGAGGTTTCTTTTCACTTCCCTGTACACCATTCTTTTCTCCCTCATTCTCTTCTCCATCAGTGTTATCCGTATCAGGACTAGATGGTGTTAACAACTCATCCAAACATAAAACAAGTTGATAACTGTCAAGATCAGCTTCTTGACGTCTGGAGAGCCACTGAGTTGTACCGGCGTAGTTAAATCGAGCCGTATTTCCTAACAATACTGAAACACCATAGGGTGAAAGTGATGATGATTGTGATGATGAAAAGTCTTCTGCTGCCGCTGTTGCTTCTGCCACAAAACGACGCCATAATTCCATTGCCGCAACACTGCCGGTTGCCCCACCAGTACTGGGTGCAGCTGGTGCCACACTGAGAGTATCAAAGGATGCAGTAATCAATAATCTCGGTAACTCTTCTGTTGTTGTTGATGATGCTGTTCCCTTCGTTTCCTTTGGCCGTACAGTCATGGAAGCATATAAGTGAATACCCGTCACTGAGTTATTCACCACTGGTGCCACCGCCGCTTCATTAGCGCCAACCGAAACAACCGCAAATCCATCACGTGGTAATGCGGCGAGTGTATTGTACAGTTCCCGTGCGGCTTCACCATCGTGAGGGAGAAAATACACTGGAAGCGGCACAGCGGCCCGTGCGAGGTGGTGTTGCAGCAGCCATTCATTATGTGTATCGAATGGAGAAGTGGCGGCAATAATACCCCGCACGGGTAATGCGATGAGTTCCTGCCATTGCGTTGGCGTAATGTGAAGTGTGGTGGGGAGAAAGACAGTCTGTCGGCGGTATTTTGTGAGTGAGGCCGTTGGGTCAAAGAGGGCTAATCCACCCCGCAATAAGGATGATTGTGAGCCCAAAGACATATCTGCCATTGATGATGATGATGATGATGTGGAGGCTGTTGTTTTTAGTTTTGCACCTGTTGAGGTTCGGCGTTCGAAGTGAATGGCGTGATAAACAGGACTTCTGAGAAGAGGCTCAGCGGCTGTGGCGGGCAGGGCAACCGCCAACAGGACGAATAGTACCAATAGAGGTAATAATCGTGAGGGGTGCGATGTTAGACAGACTCGCATTATTACTCTTTATCTTGTTTACTGTGAAAATAATAATAATAATAACAATAGTAATAACAAGGATAAAAGGAAGAATAAGAAAGAGTAATAGAAGAAGACATACTCTTTAGTTTAAGTTTTTATATTCACCTTCAACACAGTGATTATATATCATGTTTTCTTTTTTTTCCTTGTTCTAATGACAGTACGTGAGGGGGTGGTGGGGGAATATTAAAAGAACATACACACACACATACACACTCGGAGACACAAAAACAAATAATAACAATAAGAAATAAAATAACACACCATGGAGTTACGATAAACAGCTCATTTCTGCTAGTCCATAGAAGTTATAGTTTTTTTTTTATTTAAAAAAAAGATGAGAAAGAAAGAAAGAAGGAAGGATAGAAAAGAAAAAGAAAAGAAGTAGCAGTAGAGTGTAATGTCTCTGCTTCTTACTTCAACACTTCAAGCTCTGTGGCAATGGCAGCAAGTTGACGAACTGTCTGTTGTTCCACTTGTATGCGGCGACGGATCTCTAACAGGGATGTTTCGAATACACGAGAGGACTCCAATCGGCGTTTAACTTCCGCCTGCAGACGAGTCCGTTCTTCTAAATCTTCACACAACTGCAGATAATATTCACATGCCTTTTGTTGTTCTTCTCTTTGCTCATGTTGCTGCAAGAGTGGTTGTACCAATCCTTCATTCTTCTTATCCATCTCTCTTGTTTTAACCTGAGAGAATGGAGAAGTGTCATTCTGTTTATTCCATTGTGTTTTCCCACTTGGACGATGACAACCGGCTAACAATGCAATCCGAAGGGCACGATATACACCTTTATTCTCCAGACCACTTCTATTATTATTATTATTATTATTATTATTATTATTATTAATATCCCTGTGTTCCCTCCATTTCTCATGTGAGAGACTTTCTAGAAGTCTGACAATACGAGAAAACACCAGTGATGCTCGATGTTGAATTGTACTCTCTAATTCTGTGATGGTTTCCCGTTGTTCTTGTCCCTTCTTACTACACTTCGCCTGTAGGGCCTTTACTTCTCGCCGCAGAGCAGCATTATTCTCTACAAGTGAATCTCTCTCATCCTCCATACGCCAAGAGAGTTTCATCTGTTGTTTCTCTTCTCTTTCCCACTCCTGCTGCACCAGGGCGTAGTCTTCAGCAGCACGCTGTAATGCAGCTGATAATGATGGTGTCGATATATTCGCATTATCCTTTTTATTCTTTTCCTTCTCATTCTCATCATCATCATCATCATCATTGTTCTTCTCCTTACTATTCTTATTATTATTAACAGTTGTCATCATTCTCTTTATTTTATCCTTATAATGCCTCCAAGATGCCATAAGAGATTGATGGTATTCAGACTCTAAAAGGGCACGATCACGTACTTCACACCACTGTAAACTTCGCCGTTCCATATTATACAATTTAAATAGTTTCTGCTGTGATGAATTCTTCTTTTCTGCCTTGTGGAATTTATTTTCTTCAGAGATGGAGGCCATATGAAGTGCTAACTTTCGTTCCGCATCCACTTCTTCTTGTAATAAACACATCTCTAACTGCATTCGCTCCAACTCACGCTTCTTCTCCTGAAGAAAAGGTGAAAGGGTTTTATCATCTTTACTTACTTTATTATTATTATGATTATCTCCCAAGTGATCTAATTCATTCGTAAGTACATCATTCCCAGTACTTGGTAGTGGATATCCATTAGTATGAAAATTCAAAGAAGAAAAGGTTGATATATTTTCATGATTTACTTCATCCTGTAAACGTATCATTTCCTCTTCAGCGGCTTTTATATCTATTTGTAAAGTCTGTAACTCCCCTTGTGCTTGTTCATATTCAAGACGACGCTTCTCTGCATATTCTGCGATCAATGCATCTATACATGTCTGTTCGGCTTCTTGTTGGTGTACTAATGCGGTCTTGCGTGTTTGGTATTGTCGTCTCAGTTGTTCTTCTACATCTTGGTAATGTGCCTTTACATCTTCTAGAGTATATTGCTGTTTAGATTGATCATGATTAGGCTGAGGTCCATCTGTTTGGATATCGTCCGCAGATTGTATAGTGTCTTTTAAAGATTGGATGTCTTCACGTAGTGTCGATACATTCTCCTCTGCTGTGTGTACTTCGTGTTCAAGAAATAGACCATGCTCTTTTGATTGCTGCAACTCTGCTGTTAATTGTTTAAATCTTTCTTCTTCTAATTGCAGTCGTTCCTTGAGATGTGTGATACTTTGAGAGGAAGAGGGCTCCATAGCGATAGAGTCTTCAACGTCTTGTAAAGATATGGATGACATTGAATGTAATGGTGGTGCGTCTATGATATGATTTCCATTTTTTCTGTTCTTCTTTTCTTCTTTTTCTTTTTCTTCTTTTAGTGTTGATATCTCTAACGGTGTAATGCGCCGGACTGTACTGCGGCGGGTTAACGAGACGGATGATGGGATGTTCCCAGACTCCAACTGTTGTAGTAATGCGAGAACACCAAGTGGATCATTCCATTGATGAGAACCAATACGGAAACACCACCACCGATAAGAACAAGAAGAATGGGATAAAGAATTACTACTAATACTACTAGAAGAAGAAGAACTACTACTACTACTCCTCCTCCTATTCGTATCAAT